ATGTGGCGACCCTGGGCCGACTACCTCGTTAAGTACGGATGGTGTTAAGTTGTGCCGAGTTAGCTGGGTGGGTGGTTCATTTATAAGGGATAAAGAATAAGCTCATTTGAAAAAGAAAAGAAAAACAAAACAAAATGAAATGGATTTATTTTGGCTTTAACGCCTGATGATGAGTATAGTCTGGTTCGAAACGTCAGTAGTGGTTGTCCTTTCCTTACTGTGGTTGTTCTATTTCATACACAGTTATAATACATATAATACTATGATGCAGACAGTCTTAGCATATTTGTTATATATTAGTCTCATAAAGACGTGGCATGTTCGTTATAAATTCGTCCGGTTGACATATATTTGAGTGTTTATTTTATACAAACTTGACATGTGGATTTGTTTTAAATTGTTCTGTTAAATATACAGACTTGGTATATTTGTTCCTTATATATTAGTCTTATTTATACATACTTTACATATTCGTTATAAATGTGTCTCTTACATTTTATTAGTTATAGATTTACCTGCTTTATTTACGGCTTGACGTATTTGCTTCTTATTTGTTCTTATACATACTTGGGATTTTAGTTCGTTATAAATTTGTCTCACACACACTTGGAAATTTTTTATGATATATATTTGTCAGCTTTATATACAAACTTGTCAGCTTTATTTATTGTAAGTTTATCTTATGTACACAGGTTTGGCATATTAATTCGTCATAAATTAGTTTTGTATACACACTTGGCATATTAGTTTGTCATATTTTTTTTCTATATGTTTATGTATCGACCTTATCATATCTTTCTCTGGTTTGTTTGCTATAATCTTACGCTAAATTTACACTGACTTCAGATATCTGTTTGTTATGTATCGACTTCGTTATATATTTCAAATTCGTTTTCTGTAAATTTACCTTATATTTACATTAACTATATCGACTTCGTTATATATTTCCTCAGGTTCGTGAAAGCGTACGAGGAGGAGGGCATACCTATATGGGGTATCACGACACTGAACGACCCCCTTAGTGGTTTTGATCCGGTAGGTTCTGAGATTCATTTGTGCTTCTTATTTATACAGAGCCAACGTGTGTAGGAACTCATTGTGCTGCTCGGTTGTATACACTCCGACGCATGTATTAAGTGAGAGTACAGTGTATAGTTTATGGGAATGTTATTGGTTTCTGTTTTGAGCATGCAATCGCACCTACCCTGATGTAATTAATCAGTTCACTTACTGAAGGTTATTTACAAGTTTCTGTTACTTCTCTCGCTTCCTTTCTTTATCTAACCTCTTTCTCTATTTCCTCTTCACTCTTATCACATCCTTTTTTTTTTTTACTCCTATCATCAGCCTTTCCATTTCTGCCTTTTCTCTCTCTCTTCTTCTTCTTCGTCTCCTTCCACCGCCCCCTTCTCTCTCTCTCTCTCTCTCTCTCTCTCTCTCTCTCTCTCTCTCTCTCTCTCTCTCTCTCTCTCTCTCTCTCTCTCTCTCTCTCTCTCTTTCTCTCTTTCTCTCTCCCCCCACTCTCCCTTCCTCCTTCCCTCCATCTCTTAATTTTTTTTTCTCCGGTGTTCCCCCCTTCTCGCCATTTTTTGTTCGTTTGTATCTCTTCGTATTTCCCATTTCCTACCCTTCCCCTATGTCCTATTCTTCCATTCCATGACGCTGTTTAAAAAAAAGAAATAACACTTTACTATCTTACGCTCAGGGATTGCTTAAATTGTTTTTCTATGGAGAGAAACGGCAGGTTTGGAGTAACTTCTGGATAAGGTCTTTTCTGTGTAGTGCGTTAGTTTCTCACAGCTTTTGGGAAATTGATGTTTTTACTCCCCCCTTTTCTTTTTTTTTCTTTTTTTTTAATGTCTAGGAATTCGTTACTGCTAACAAAAATACAACTAGAATTAAATGCAGTGCTTTTCCTCACCGAGGTTCAGTAAACATTGGGGAAGAAGCAGTACTAGTATAGAAGTTATAATGTAAAGTTTACAGGATAGCAGTGTTCAGTAGTATTTAAAACTAGGAATAAAAGGCCATGAGTTTTTTTCCGGGCTCCCCAAATAGGCATAGCCCGGGCGAGGCTCTGCTTCGCGAATCTAAAAAAAAAAAAAAAAAAAAAAAAAAAAAAAAAAAAAAAAAGGCCATGAATATAAATTACACTTCTCTTACCGTTCTTAATAACATCAGAGCATGGGAACAAGGACTTTGTATTTAAAACAAGGTAACCTTTACAGTAATTTTCTGTAGTACCTGAGCCTAAGAATGAAGTACCGCATTCTTTATAGGAGGTCACAGTAATGTATTAGCTTAGACATATAAGAACTATGCACATAGAACACTTAGCATTTACCAGAACTTTCAGGAGTATCAGAACCTAGGAATCAGGGACCATGCATATAAAGCACGCATCCCTTTTACTTTTTCAGCAGTATCAGAGCCTAGGAATCAGGGACCATGCATATAAAGCACGCATCCTTTTACTTTTCAGCAGTATCAGAGCCTAGGA